CTTTGTGTGAATCACAATCGAAGCTTTGCAAAATTTTTTCTAGAACCTGTTGCGTCTTAGAATTTCGGACAGAACCAAAATAAATTTTTCTGGATTTTTTCCTAAAACTATTTACCTGAACAGAACAAGCGAAAGTTTATAATCAGTTATTTGGAAAACTGGTCACCGTCGTCGCTGTGAATAATTTGTTTTTTTTTAATTCCGGTTTCTCCACTTTTAGGTCAATATTTCTAAACAAAACTCTCTTTAAACAGAAAAATGCGCTTTTTCCTGACACTTCACCGTAAAATATTGACAAATTGAGTGTTTTATGCAAAAAAGAGATCGATTTTCTTTATCTTTTTTATCGTCTTTTTCAAATACCCGTTTTCCAAATTTGAATTTGGGACAAAACCGAAACAAAATTATCTCGTTCCTTTATTCGAAAAATTAAAGTTTTCCCAAAAAACGACCAGAGAAACCAAAATCAGATCAACTGTTTGGAAAACTCGTCACCCTCATCGCTCTAGAATTTTTTTAAGTTTCTTAATTTCCGGTTTTTCCAGTTTTAAACCAAATATTTTCAAGCAATCGTTTGTCTCGTTCAAAAGGTCATTCAGTCAATTGTTAAGAGTTAGCGCAATGCTGCGCAAACGGCTTCGTGCGCCAACCCAACGCACCGGCGCAGTAACTCAGTTGCGTTGCTGATAAACCGTTACGGTTTAGATGATAACACTGTAGTCTCGGTGATCGGTAAATGAGTTACAATTCATTTGAGCGGCAACAACTCAAAAGCGCAACTCAACACAATGTTACCCAGGCCTGCAATAAAGCACGAGTAAAACTAGCAGGATTTTTGGCGTTTTCAGGCGCAATCACATGCTGAAACTGAAATGGCGAGTTATGAAGCAGAATGACATCGCAGACACGTCGGTTTTTATCAGGGACAGCAAAAACCCGCTTCATATAGTTTATCAAATCACGTTGCCGTACTTCAAGCGGACGCTCGAAGTCGACTTGAAGGCGATAAAGAGCAAAGACATGCCGGTGAAAAGTTATCACGTCTGTCTCGTGTCCAAGACAAGCAGGAATGGCGTGCGAAAATTTTATCCGGAACAGTGCCGGGAGTTGGATGGCTCCTCAGCGACAGGTGATATTTCCAAAGTGAATAACTGTTTGTTACTTTTAGCTCTAATAGTTTATGTTTCGTTGTAATACAAGGCGTTTTTACTTTGTTTTTTGTCGTTTTTCTTACCGAAAGCTTCCAAGTCGCTCATCCTGTATAGCGTGCAAGTTCGCGTAGTACGTTTAGCCTGCAATTTGAGATCCCAATCACCGTCATTTGTTGATTTAATGTCGGGGGCTCTCAAACCGTCCATTAAGGCAGAGCTTTCAATCAGCGTGGGCTTCTTAATGTCTTTTTCGCAACTTGATGGCTCTTTCTAGTTTGCAGATTTTTTGCGAGATTTGCTGTGTCACACTCCAGTGTTTTCTCCCAGTTTCACAGCATTTAACTTTGCGCTTCAGATGTGCCATTCCAACCATAATCACCCAAACAAGTTTGGAACAGTGTTCCGCAAAAACTGCACTCATTCAATCAATCTTGAGCCCGTCCATCTCGTTAATTGGTCGGATGGGTTTTCGCTTGCATTATTCAATAAATACGCTCATTACCCCGCTATTTCGTGATAAAAACACATTAAGCCCCTATGGAATGGCGAGTTAATTGCTGACTGTTGCGGCCGTTTCCAACTGGACGACGGCGCATATGAGTTTCCTCAACTTTATCGTGCGAGATCACCGAAAAAAAACAGTTAGGCCAGTCGGTTTGTAATAATTATAGCGGCCCCATCATTTCCTGAACAATGAAAAATTGATATCGGTCAGTAATTAATTGGCTGGCTAATTAGCTTGGGACAACGCATTGTGCCACACGGTGCTTCCCATGCGATCCGGTACCGTTAAATTGGACGCGAAACCAACGTTATTCAGCCCTGTGCTGTATCACTCACGTTAACTTTAACGTGCATGTTATCCGTCAAACACGTTATGTGGCTCCAACTGGTGTGTTGTATCAGCAAAACCTTTATATTATAACAGGCGCACGCTATCGACGAACGTTATATGAAGAAATAGCGCTTCAGAATAACAGCATCAAATCACATGCCGCTTTC